GTGATTCTTGTGTCTCAGCTTCCTGAGTAGCTGGGACTACAGTCATGTGCCACCACGTCCGGCTAATATTTTGTATTTTCAGTAGAGACAGGGTTCCACCGTGTTGGCCAGGCTGGTCTCGAACTCCCGGCCTTGAGTAATCCACCTACCTTGGCCTCCTAAAGTGCTGGGATTACTGGGGTGAGCCACCGCACCCCGGCTGCACATTTATTTCCATGGTTTAATATGTGTGTGTGTGCATGCACAGATAACTCACATTCTTGTAACTGCTGTCTTCTGCCATTTTTACTTAATATTACCTCACAATGGATTATGAAATGTTGATGGGTTCTAAAAGTATTAAATGTTTAGTTACCTTTTTTTCCTCCACTCCTTTCCTGTTAGCCAAGTAAAGTGATAAACAGATACATTCTTATTTTTACATGAGTTAAGATGGGAAAAGATGATGAAATTTTTGTTTTTTAAAAGGAAAAGGTCATGAATTAAAAAAAAAAAAAACCTTTCAGAAACAGAGATCTGTAGGATATAGTCCACCCACTTTTTTGCCTATTTGTTTTAATTGGTAGCCTAGAATTGTATTTTCTTGGTAATCTATGGTTTGATTAGTAGAGACAGGGTTTCACCATGTTGGCCAGGCTGGTCTTGAACTCCTGACCTTGTGATTCCCCTGCCTTGGCCTCCCAAAGTGCTGGGATTACAGGCATGAGCCATCACACGTGGCCTGCTATAACGGTTTTCTTTAGTCTTCATGTCTTTGCTGCTGTGCACACTACAAACATCTCAACCAGTGAACTTACTTTTAGTTTTTGAATTTCCCTTTTGAGCAGTTTTATCCATTAGAAGGATTGGTACTTCATGAGTTTTGTTCTTTTGTAGAGGTCTTCTAAAGAACAGAGAGGGGGAAAAAAAAGAATAGAGAGAACATTTATTTATATGTTTTTTAATAGAATAAAACTCATTTTATCTTGCAGTTACCATATGGAACTTTTTGTAAATCTAAGAATCATTTGCGAATATTACAGGTCTTGTTTTTTCTATATCTTGAAGCATTTTGTTATTTAATCTAGGAAATTATTTTATCAGTACTCATCAAAACTATACTTACAAAAAGTGGGCTAAAATAAAAAAAAATGTTGGAATTTGCTAGAGTAGAAGTTGGCAAACTTTTACAAGGGTTAGTTAGAAAATATTGTAGGCATTGTGGGCTACATATGATCTCTGTGGCATATTGTTCTTCTTAAACAACCCTTTAAATATTTGAAAACCATTCTTAGCTCCCAGAAAGGTTGTGGGACCTATTTGTCTTGTGGGTCTTGGTCTGTCATTGCATTAGCCTAACAATTTTCATATTGCATTGCCCAAAGGATTATGCCGTCTTTTACGTAATATCAAAGGAGACTGGAGACACCATCTTTAAGGTCTCCTTTTAGCTTTTATTGAACAGTATGTAAATTCAGACTTTTAAATATTTTGTTCATAATGGCAAAGAGAAGAAAATTGATGGAGGAAGAAGTTTCACAGTTGTTAGACAAATCAGAAAGTGAATACTGAAAGGTAAATTCTAGACTGATGACGATGGTAAAGTGGATCATATAAGCAAAATTACTTACTATGAATTTTGAGATAAGTCCTCAACATCTGAATTTTCTCAATATAGATGCCAAAAAAAAAATGAGCAGGTTGTAACTATAAGCCATAACCTATTAGATAGCTGACTTCTAAAATTTATAAAATGGATGTATTCCATGTTCATCCATGATATCTGATGGGCAGTTGTATTCAGAGGACATAGCCCATTTCAGCTGTGTCTTAAAAACAAGGAAATGTGGAATGACAACCTGGATTTGCCGTATTACTTACCAAAAAATTCCAATAAAGTTGTTTCCCACTATTTCCTGATTTTTGTAAACATTCTTTGTAAAATATGCATGTGTGTTTGTGTGTGTAAAGGTTCCATTAGATGCAAATAACAAATGATGATTATTGCTTTTCCTTGTATACTTAGAGTACAGAATTAGCTTCCTTTAGGATTTTTTTCCTTTGAGTTGTGTTTTGTGTTAGGCTCTTGATTTACATGGAGGAGGGATGCTTTGAGAAAGTCTTAAAAAGACTAGCTGCTGCATTTACTGTGTGTTTTAAAGAACTTGATCTAATTTTTATTTGTTTTTTATATTAAGACTAGGTTATATATTTTGCTTGCTCTTCTGTTTTTGTATTTATAATTTATTTTGCATTTATTTGATAATGATATGCTCTAATAATGGTATGTTTTCTGGATTTTAGCATAATTCTAGATTTAAAAGAAATTAAATGGTAGAGTAAGGAACTTCAGAAAATCCAGTCTTCCATAAAAGAACAACAACTGTCAGAAGATCATGGCTCACTGCAGCCTCAATCTCTTAGGCCTAAGCAATCCTCCCACCTCCATCTCCCAAGTAGCTAGGACCATAGCATGCACTACCTCGCCTGGCTAATTTTTAATTTTTTTAGAGATGGAGTCTTCCCATGTTGCCCAGGCCGGTCTCAAACTTCTCAGCTCAAGCAATCCTCAGCCTTTGAAAGTGTTGGTATTACAGGATATGAGCAACTGCATTTGACACAGAATCAGCTTTTTTGGAACACTCATAACTAACCAAAAGCTGTAACAATCAGGGCAACACTTATTCAAGAAAACCCACCAAATCTCAGTGAGAACACTGAGCTTTATGGCCTTTGGCTACCCTTGTCCCATCTGCTTCTCAGCTCAGTGATAGCCTTGAAGATAATAGTCTCCATTCCTAGTGCTGATACAAGGAGGAGGATAGACCTAATTCAGAAAAAAATTGTAATTTACTTGTTTTCATCTGATGGTTGCTAGAAGACTGTTTCAAAAAAAGATGTTTGCCTTTATGTCACCTAACTTGGAGCTCTTCTGATGGAAAAGTAACTACCTTGGGGGTATTCGTTAAAAGTATTTACAGACATATGTTTTAGTTACTGTTGCCTGAGGCAAAGGAAAACAGTTGGAGCAAACCAAAACTAACCAGAAAGATTAAAAATGAGATGCTTTGGGGAATAAGTGCTTTAAAATTATTCTTGGAATCTAGATGGGCACATGCATGCCCAGAGCTTTGTGCAGGCTCAGGAAAGACCTGAGAAGACCCTAAGCTCTCTCTTCTGGCTCACTTTAAGTCTCTGCACAAGCAGGAAATGAAGACTAAAGTGGAGTTATAAATTTCTTGGGTGAATATTGAAGGCATATCTTAACATACAGAGCCCATCTGCAAAGACTAGCAGAACTTTTTGGTTGTAGATGTTTAAGGAAATTTCTTTCTAATCATTAGCAGACTACTAACTAATGGAACAGAGACTTCACTGGTCACACATAACAAAGAAACAGACTTTACAAAATTAGGGCAGAAAAGGCATTAAATGAGGAAACAACTACAAAAAATAGTAACAACAAACCCCTAGAAGGGGAAACCTCTGATTTATATAGTTATCACACTGTAATATTCAAAACGTCCTGCTTTCTACAAAATAATTATAAAGTATACAAAGAAGCAAAGTAAGACTCTTATACAGAAGAAAGGAACAGAAACAGCCCCCAGTGAAGCAAAGACAAAGACTTTAAGTAAGCTGTCTTTATTATGCTCAAATTGCTAAGGGAAACCAGGAGAATGATACATCATCAAATAGAGAAAATACAGAAATTATGAAAAGAAACTAAAAGTTTATAGCTGAAAAGCACAGTAACTGAAAGATTCACTAAACGGTTTAAGTAGCAGGTTTGAGTAGACGAAAGAATAAGTGAATTTGAAGATAAATTAACTGGAACATCCAGTTTGAAGAGCAAAGCCTTAGAGACCTGTGAGACACCCTCAAGTGCACAACATGCACAGCAGACACAGTGTAATGAGAGTAACAGAAGGAAAGGCGAGAGGGCTGCAAAGAATATTTGCTATAGTCTTAATGTTTGTTTCTTCTTATATGACGGTGTCTTTCAAATTTGTATGATGAAATCTTAACCCCAAGGTATTGGGAGGTAGGGACCTTGGGTAGTGACTGGGTCATTGGAGTAGAGCCCTCATGACTAGGATTAGCACTCTTAGAGTAATAAGAAGATCTCTTGCCCTTCTACTATGTGAGAACACAGTGAGAAGTCACTTTCTGTGAACCAGAAAATGGGCCTTCACCAGATACCAAGTCTGCTGGTTCCTTGATGGAAGTTAGACTTCCCAACCTCCAGAACTCTGAGAAATAAATTTGTTATTTATAAGCTACCTAGTTTATGGTGTTTTGTTATAGCAGTCTGAACAGACTAAAACAATATTTAAATAAATAATGCTCAGAAATTTCACAAATTTGATGAAAAACATTATCCACATTTAAGAAGCTCAAGAAACTCCAGGTAAGAAAAACTACACCAAGACACATGATAATCAAACTGTCAAAGGTAAAGAGAGAATGTTGAAAGCATCAAGAGAAGTAACTAATCACATACAAGTATCCTTGATGATTAATAGCTGATTTCTCATCAGAGACCCCATAGTCTTCTAGAAGGTAGTGGATTGGCATATGCAGAGTTCTGAAAGGGGGAAAAGAAAAGCTGTCAACAAAGAATTACATATTCAGCAAAACTTTGTTCAGAGATGAAGGAGAAATACCTTTCCAGATAAACAAAAACTAAGTCATTGCTGGCAGACCTGCCCTATAAGAAATGCTTAAAGGGAGTCTTCTCTATTTATTTTTCCCACACTCTGTTACTGTTGGTGTCTAGCTGCAGTAGTGTCAATACATTTTAGAAATATAAGAGGTATTTTTCTGGTGGGAACCGTTTAGTTCTCTTATCCTTCGTTAATATGCTAAAAACTAGCCTTTTGCATTTATCTGAAGAGACAAACTGCATGTAAGAAAACTTTTTCATGTATGTAAATCAGAGGTACTTTACATGTTTACAAAGGAAATTGTATGAGTACAAGTTAAATTTGAAATGTGTGCCATATGTTAATTTCTTGCAGGAGAAGGAAGCCAACATCCTTTTGGAGCCATGAATATTGTCCGAACTCCATCTGTTGCTCAGATTGGAATTTCAGTAGAATTATTGGACAGTATGGCTCAGCAGACTCCTGTAGGTAATGCTGCTGTATCTTCAGTTGACTCATTCACTCAGGTAATGCAACACACATTTCATTCTTTACCTCCCCCTCCACTGCTATATTAGGGTATAAAGACAAATTAAAATTATATACAACTATGGTATACAATGTGATGTTTTTGATACATGTTTACATTTTGTTTGGTTTTTTGAGAGATGGCATCTCACTCTGTCGCCCAGGCTGGAGTGCCGTGGCGAAATCTTGGTTGACTGCAGTCTCCGCCTCCCGGGTTCAAGTGATTCGCCTGCCTCAGTCTCCTGAGTAGCTGGGATTACAGGCATGTGCCATCACACTCGGCTAATTTTTGTTATTTTTTATTTTAATTTTTTTTAGTAGAGACAGGGTTTTGCAATATTGGCCAGGCTGGTCTCGAACTCCTGACCTCAGGTGATCCACCTGCCTTGGCCTCCCAAAGTATTGGGATTACAGGTGTCAGCCACTGCACCAGGCCTATATTTTGAAATAAAATCAAGCTATTTAAAGTATCTGTCACCTCACACAGTCATCATATTTTTGTAGAGAACATTTAAGATCTAATCCCTTAGCAAATTACAAGTATACAATATATTAATAGTAACTGTAGTCTCCATGCTGTACAATAGAGTTTCAGAATTTTTTTATCCCGTTGAACTGAAACTTTGTGCCCTTTGACCAATATGTCCTCATTTTCCTTTCCCTTCCACTCTTCAACCCCTGGCAACCACCATTCTACTCTCTGTTTCTACAAGTTCAACTTTTAGATTCTACATGTAAGTGAGATCAATCATGCCCAGGCTGGAGTGCAGTGGTGCAATCACAGCTAACTGCAACCTCAAACTCCTGGGCTCAAGCAATTTTCTCACGAGTAGCTGGGACTATAGGCAAGCATCACCAAACCCACCTAATCTTTTAATTTTAATAATCCTTTGTAAACCACTTTGCATTTTTCTCCTTCTAGCATGGTGTTTGTCTTTTTAATACTGCTTATCATGGTTTTCCATACAGATATACTATATTTGTATATGAATTTATTGTTTCTTTTATGATTTGTGGGTTTTTAATATTTGAGAAAGCCTTCTCTACCCTGATACGTAAAGATGTGTGTGTGTGTGTGTGTGTGCGCGCACGCGTGTGTGTGTGTGTGTGTGTAGAGGTGGGGTCTTGCTATGTTGGTTCTTACAGACCTAAGGTTTACTTTTTGAATTATGTTTGTGTGCAGTATGGGAAGGGAATTAAATTCATTTTTCCCATAATGGAAAACTAGTCATAGCCCCATTAATTATTAGTCCCCTTTTTTTAAAACCATGAATAATAGCGTCTTTGTCATATATGCTTAGGTTTATTTCTGGGCTCTCTTATTCCAATTAGTTTCTTTGCCTGACTCTTTGCCAGTAAGTCTTAATATTCTGGTAGGGCAAGTTCTTCCTAATAGTCATCAAAATATATATAGGTATTCTTCATAATTCTTGTGTAGGTATTCTTCATAATAATTATATCAGGTTGTTGAGTTTCATGAAATAGTATTAGCTTGTCAAGTTTCATGAACAACCTTGTTGGAATTTTGTTGGAAATAACATTGGATTTATAGGTTTAATTTGGGGAGCCTTGGCCACCTTTACCACATTGTCTTCCCATATGTGACATGGCATATATTTCCATTGAATATATATAGGTTCTTTTGTTTTATTTTCTGTCTTTCAGTAGTCTTTATAATGTTTTCCGCAAAAATCTTAATAGTTTGTCTTAGCATTTTTTCTAGGCATTGGAGAAAATGCTTTGTTTATATTCTGAATGGAATCTTGTTAAAGTTACACTTAAAAATTATTGTCACTGGTGTGGAGGGTTGCTGTTAATTTTTTTCCCCCTAATGTTGATCTTTTCGTTGTGACTTTAGTCTGGGTACACTGGCACATGCCTATAATTCCAGCACATGCAGAGGCTGAGGTGAGAGGATTGCTTGAGCCTAGAATTTTGAGACCAGCCTGGGTAACATAATGAGACCCCATCTTTATAAAAATAAAAAATTATCCAGGGATGGTGGTACATGCTTGTAGTATCAGCTACTTGGGAGGCTGAGGCAGGAGGATCACTTGAGCCTAGGAGGTCAAGGCATGATTGTGCCTCTGCAATCAAGCCTGGGTGACAGAGTGGAACCATGTCTTAAACAAACTGATAGTGACTTTACTAAATTTTTGATATTAATCAAGTGCCTTCACAGTAAAGGCTCTTGGATTATATTGCCTTCATATTAAACAACCAAATTTAAAAAACCTAATAAGACCATTTCTCTTGTGTAGAGAATACAGCATAGCTGATTCTGTATTTTTGAGAAAGTGATGCTGGAAGGATTATATTTACATGAGTAGAAGGTAGTATTATCTTTAGAAGTTCAGTTATATTTAGGGATAGTACTTAAGCCCATTTGATTCTCAGAAAATATGAATTCGTTTACTTCTAGCTTCTACCAAGGACACTTGGGGTATAGTAGTGAATCTGATCATTAGAGTCAAGGAGAAGATACAGGTTAGAAAACAGAGGAAACAGTATAGTGTTGGCTTTATCTTCTTTTCAGCAATGGAAACAACCAGTTGTTCCTTTATAATACGTAAACTCTTATCTCTCTGGCAGGTAAAAGACTTCTTAGAGATGATTACTATTTTATATGAGAAAATATTGGCCAGGGTGGTCTCGATTAAAAAAACAGAGAGAGAAAATAGGTTGATTTGAGGAGAGTGACAATTGAGGAGGGACATAGTGGATGCAGATGTGGAGATGAAAGAAAATATTTTGAAGAAAAATGTTTTTCTTTTTTCTTGCCCAAAGTGAGTAGCTTATTTCACAATGTCATTATATTTATGTGTACTCTTAACTTTCTTTTTTCTTCATTTATTTTAATTTTTTTGAGACAGAGTTTTGCTGTGTTGCACAGGCTGGTCTTGAACACCTGGCCTCAAGTGATTCTCCTGCTTCAGCCTCCCAAAGTTTTGAGATTACACGCATGAGCCACCACACCCAGCCAACTTTTAGCATTAGACTGTCTTAGAACTGACAGTCCTTATAAACAAGTTAATATGAGAATATTTTTAATTTAAAAATACTGAGTTCTAAATGAAGTATAATCCATTAATCTATTATTAACTTTTCAGTTCACACAAAAGATGTTGGACAATTTCTACAATTTTGCTTCATCATTTGCTGTCTCTCAGGCCCAGATGACACCAAGCCCATCTGAAATGTTCATTCCAGCAAATGTGGTTCTGAAATGGTATGAGGTATTTTCTGTCTCTAATATTATGACTTTTCCTAACTGCGTATCTATTTTGCCTGTGAATATATTCCTTTTTTGACATTTAAACATAGTCTTTTGTGAACATCAGCACTGCATGCTATTAAAGTATGTACTATAGAGATCTGATGAGAAACAGTTCTTACCCTAACTATTTTGTTATATAGTAGCCATTATGAATTTATAAAGACAAGAAAAACTAATTGCCTATGTTTTAGGGACCACTATTAAAGCTTATACATATTTGTTTATTTTCACTTAGAAGTACCATCTATGAGAATTGAAATATCAATCAAAACTTTTTTTATGTTGTTTTGAAGATCTTGATCTGCAGTAAACATGTACCATTAGGGTATGAGAGTAGTTTATACTGCACCCTAAACATGAATGGCTAATGAATCTATTTTCCAATTTTCCCAAGTTTTATAGATATTTCTTTTCACTTCTAATATCCCAGTGGTGAGAGGATGTCTAGGAAGTTTCTTGAGAAGTGGTACTATGGTGTAGCATAGAGAGCACTAGAGGGCACTACGTTTGAATTTAGGCATAATGTGGCTATATGACCCTTAGCTAACTTCTCTCATCTGCTCATCTATGGAATGAGGGAATAGAGTTTAATTCGATTTTTTTCCTTCGGTCCCTTGTAGCTCTTAAATTTGCAGAAGGTAAACAATTACTAAAATATTTTACAACTTGTGCTCTCTGATAAAAGCTAATCAAAACTGCCCCGATACTTAAATTCCTATACTTGCTGTCTTTTTATAAGAATAATTACATTTCCAGATTATCTTTTTAGTTTTTCTATAGCTTTTCAGAAATGACTTGTAAAATTGTTTTGGTTAAGTCATTTGACAGATAATGAAAGATCCTATTTTAATGTTCTTATGAATGTAAATATATGTTTTCTTTTTTAGGTATGAAAACTTTCAAAGACGACTAGCACAGAACCCTCTCTTTTGGAAAACATAATTTGAATAAAATAATTTTTAATGGATTCTGAAATTTGTCATGTTTTGTAGATAGATAACTGACTCCATCTAAAAGTATGAAGGCAAAGGATCATGAAACCTAAGTTTAAAAACTACTTAAAGACTGAAGCTTAATTAAAATCTTTATTAAAAATTAAAAACATCGGGGGAGGACTCAAGATGGCACTGTGAGAACAACCCAGGATTGAAGCTCTTGGTGCATGCGTGGAGAGGGTGAGTCAGGGATGCATATCCAGAAGGATCTTTGTTGCCCACAGAACGGGGAAATTCCCAGGTATAAAAGAGACACGGGATGCCAGGCAGAGGTTTCGGCTGGTGTAGCCAGCAGCTGGTGCGGCAGCAGCCCGTGCCGTAGCGCAGTGGCGCTACACAGCGCTCTGCACAAAGCGCACTGGTCCGGGTGCCCTGTTGAACTAGCAACCTGAGACTTGAGAGGGCTGAACTTGAAACTGAACAGGACTTGGACAGTGAGCCAGCCCAGGAGATTCTAGGGACACAGGGTTTGGGGTAGCGCAGTGTGACAAACAAAACGGCGATTCCAAACGCTCCCGGCGGAGAGGTTCCCTGAGAACGCAGCTCCGTGGGGGAGGGGCGTCCGCCATTACCGAGGCAACCTGCCCCTACTGAGGTACACGCCCATTGCTGACGCAGCCTGCCGTTGCTGAGGCAACCCGCTACAATAGACTCTGCTGCAGGGCGTAGCCCGTGGCAGCAGGGGAGAGACCGCAGCAGAAGGGCAGAGCCTGCAGCAACAGGGCGAACCTCACACCAGCAGGGCGGAGCCTCGGCAGGCAAATAGTGACTAGACTGCCTCCTAGCTGGGCAGGACAGCACAACGGACACTCACAAATAAAGCCCCAACACCCCCAACCAGAGCATCTGAGAAAAAAAAGGGTTTTCTTATGAGTTCTGTTGCAGCAGAATTAAACATAGCAGCCTAACAGCCCTGAATGAACAACAGAGCTCACACATCAGCATTTGAGCTCCTATGAAGTACAGACTGTCTCCTCAAGCAGCTCCCTGACCCCTCTATATCCAAAAGACTGACATTTGGCAGGCATCATTCTGGGACAAAGATAGCAGAAAAAGAAACTGGTAGCATCCCTCACTGTTCTGCAGCTGCTATAGGTGCACCCCAGACAAGCAGGGCCTGGAGTGGACCTCAGCAGTCGTACAGCGAAGGGGCTAGACTGGTAGAAGGAAAACCAAGTAACAGAAATACTTCATCATCAACAATCTGGGCATCCACTCAGAGACCCAATCAAAAAGGCAGCAACTACACAGACGACAGGTGGATAAATCCACAAAGATGGGAAGAAACCAGTGCAAAAAGGAGGATAACACCCAAAACCAGAACACCTCGCCTCCTAGAAAGGACCAGAACTCCTCATCAGCAAGGGAGCAAAGCTGGACGGAGAATGACTGTGACGAAATGACGGAATTAGACTTCAGAAGGTTGATAATGAGAAACTTTTGTGAGCTAAAAGAACATGTTTTAAATCAATGCAAGAAACTAAGAACCTTGAAAAAAGATATGAAAAAAGATTCGAGGAAATGATAACAAGAATGGGTAACTTAGAAAGGAATATGAATGAATTAAAGGAGCTGAAAAACACAATACGAGAACTTCGCGAAGCATGCACAAGTTTCAATAGCCGAATACACCCAGCAGAAGAAAGAATATCAGAAGTCGAAGATCAACTCAATGAAATAAAACGAGAAACCAAGATCAGAGAAAAAAGTGCAAAAAGGAATGAACAAAGCCTCCAAGAAATGTGGGACTATGTGAAGAGACCTAAACTACGTTTGATAGGCGTACCAGAATGTGACGAAGAGAATGAATCCAAGCCGGAAAATACTCTTCAGGACATTATCCAGGAAAATTTCCCCCACCTAGCAAGACAGGCCAACACTCAAATGCAGGAAATACAGAGAACACCACAAAGATACTCTGCAAGAAGAGCAACCCCAAGGCACATAATGGTCAGATTCAACAAGGTTGAAATAAAGGAGAAAATAAGGGCAGCCAGACAGAAAGGTCGGGTCACCCACAAAGGGAAGCCCATCAGACTCATAGCAGATCTCTCGGCAGAAACACTACAAGCCAGAAGAGAGTGGGGGCCAATATTCAACATCCTTAAAGAAAAGAACTTTCGACCCAGAATTTCATATCCAGCCAAACTGAGCTTCATAAGTGAAGGAAAAATAAAATCCTTTGCGAACAAGCAAGTACTCAGAGATTTTGTCACCACCAGGCCTGCTTTACAAGAGCTCCTGAAAGAGGCACGACACATAGAAAGGAACAACCAGTACCAGCCATTCCAAAATCACACTAAATGCTAAAAAGCATCAACACAATGAAGAATCTACAACAACTAATGGGCAAAACAGCCAGCTAGCATCAAAATGGCAGTGTCAAATTCACACATAACAATATTAACCCTAAATGTAAATTGACTAAACGCACCAATCAAAAGACACAGACTGGCAAATTGGATAAAAATCCAAAACCCATCGGTGTGCTGTATCCAGGAAACCCATCTCACATGCAAGGATACACAAAGGCTCAAAATAAAGTAATGGAGGAAGATTTACCAAGCAAATGGAGAGCAAAAAAAAAGCAGGAGTTGCAATTCTCATCTCTGATAAAATAGACTTTAAAGCAACAAAGATCAAAAGAGACAAAGAAGGACATTACATAATGGTAAAAGGATTGATACAACAAGAAGAGCTAATGATCCTAAACATATATGGACCCAATACAGGAGTACCCAGATACATAAGGCAAGTTCTTAATGACCTACAAAAAGACTTAGACTCCCACACAATAATAGTGGGAGACTTTAACACTCCACTGTCAATATTAGACAGATCAACCAGACAGAAAATCAACAAGGATATCCAGGGCTTGAACTCAGAACTGGAGGAAGCAAACCTGATAGACATTTACAGAACTCTCCACCCCAAATCTACAGAATATACATTCTTCTCAGCACCACATCACACCTACTCTAAAATTGACCACATAATTGGAAGTAAAGCACTGCTCAGCAAATGCAAAACAACTGAAGTTATAACAAACAGCCTCTCAGACCATAGTGCAATCAAGTTAGAACTCAGAATTCAGAAGCCAACCCAGAACCGCACAGCTTCATGGAAACTGAACAACTGGCTCTTGAATGTTGACTGGATAAACAATGAAATGAAGGCAGAAATAAAGAAGTTCTTTGAAACCAATGGGAACAAAGACACAACATGCCAGAATCTCTGGGACACATTTAAAGCAGTCTCTAGAGGAAAGTATATAACAATAAGTGCCCATATGAGGAGAATAGAGAGATCCAAAATTGACACCCTATTGTCAAAATTAAAAGAGCTAGAGGAGCAAGATCAAAAAAACTCAAAACCAGCAGAAGACAAGAAATAACTAAGATCAGAGCTGAACTGAAGGAGATTGAGACATGAAAAACCCTTCAAAAAATCAATAAATCCAAGAGCTGGTTTTTTGAAAAGATCAACAAAATAGACAGACCACTAGCCAGATTGCTTAAAAAGAAAAGAGAGAACAACCAAATAGATGCAATAAAAAATGATAAAGGGAAAATCACAGATTCCACAGAAATTCGAACCATCATCAGAGAATATTACAAACAACCCTATGCACATAAACTAGTAAACGTGGAAGAAATGGATAAATTCCTGGACTCCTGTGTCCTCCCAAGCCTAAACCAGGAGGAAGCTGAAACTATGAATAGACTAATAACAAGGTCTGAAGTCGAGGCAGCAATTAAGAGCCTACCACACAAAAAAAGCCCAGGTCCAGACGGGTTCACAGCCGAATTCTACCAGAAACACAAAGGAGCTCGTACCTTTCTTTCTCAAACTATTCCAAATAATCCAAAAAGAGGGAATCCTTCCCAAGTCATTTTAGGAGACAAACATCATCCTGATACCAAAACCCGGCAGAGACCCAACAAGAAAAGAAAACTTCAGGCCAATATCCATGATGAACATAGATACAAAAATCTTCAATAAAATATTGGCAAGCCGATTGCAACAGCAAATCAAAAAACTTATTCATCATGATCAAGTAGGATTCATCCCAGGGATGCAAGGCTGGTTCAACATACGCAAGTCTATCAACGTAATTCACCACATAAACAGAACCAAAAACAAAAACCACATGATTATCTCAATTGACACAGAGAAGGCATTTGACAAAATTCAACAGCCCTTAATGCTAAAAATCCTCAATAAACTTGGTATCGATGGAACGTATCTCAAAGTAATAAAAGCTATTTATGACAAACCAACAGCCAATATCATACTGAATGGGCAAAAACTAGAAGCATTCCCTTTGAAATCCGGCACTAGACAAGGATGCCCTTTCACCACTCCTATTCAATATAGTACTGGAAGTTCTAGCCAGAGCGATCAGGCAAGAAAAAGAAATAAAGGGTATTCAAATAGGAAAGGTGGAAGCCAAATTGTCTCTATTTGCAGACGACGTGATAGTATACCTAGAAGACCCCATCGCCTCAGCCCAAAAACTCCTGAAACTGATAAGCAACTTCAGCAAAGTCTCAGGATATAAAATCAATGTGCAAAACTCACAAGCATTCCTCTACACCAATAACAGACTTAAAGAGAGCCAAATCAAGAACGAACTGCCATTCACAATTGCTACAAAAAGAATAAAATACCTAGGAATACAACTCACAAGGAACGTAAGGGACCTCTTCAAGGAAAACTACAAACCACTGCTCAACGAAATAAGAGGACACAAACAGATGGAGAAACATTCCATGTTCATGGTTAGGAAGAATCAATATCGTGAAAATGGCTGTACTGCCCAAAGTAATTTACAGAATCAATGCTATCCCCATCAAGCTACCATTGACTTTCTTCACAGAACTGAAAAAAACCACCATGAACTTCATATGGAACCAAAAGAGAGCCCACATAGCCAAGTCAATTCTAAGCAAAAAGAACACCGCGGGGGGCA